GTTATTTATCAGCTGTAGAAATAGTTTTGAGCGTCTTTGTATGTATATGACTTCATCATCTAATAGAGATTCTATGTATTCTGGTGATTTCATCGGATTTTATGGATATTCCACGAAAAACAATCATTTTTTTTTGTCAAACTTGCTTATTCGAAACGATCAAATTAAACAAATCACATGATCTATGCAGGACCAAACTCGTTTACAAAAATTAGATTTCATTCGAATTTCGCTGAAACTGCGAAATGGAACGCACTAAAAAAAGTGTTTGTTCCTGTGATTGATTACGATATAAGTTTTTCTCGAAAATATCTCCACAATTTACTAAAATCGGTTTTTCCACCAGCGTAGTTAGAAAAGCTATGTTTCGATCAATCATCAATTGATTTCATAAGTAGACATTACGATATTTATTACTAAGAGGACTTGATCAATTTATATCACCATGTTTCTAAAAAAATACTACTAATTGATAATTTAATTATCCATGTATTTCATTATCAATTATTCACTGTAACGCATCATATGATTTGCTCAAACAAAATGACGTCTAACTTTTTATGCTGTTATCGTTTTACGTATTTCGAATCTTGAAAACAAAAAAAGATTCTTCAAAAGCTTGCTTTATTGGGGAACTATGGATAGAAAAAACAAAACATTGTCTGAAGGATCGAAAAAGAGATTTCATTCTTATGTTCTAACAAATAGTTTCTGATCTTCCATTTTTGAAGTCGTCGCAACAAAAAAAAAATATCGGCTTTTATTGTTTGTGTCTAGAAAGTAGAATGAACAACAGCGTTATTTTAAAACAAGTTGACATATTTCAGCAGAGGTCTCATAGTAATAAATGTTGACATGTCTTCTTTTCAGTTTTTCCTAAGAACTTAATAAGCTTATAGAAACAAATATAATGAACAAATAACAAGTTTAAACAAAACCAGAGTGTCTTCATGATCACTTTGTTGTACATAAAATGAAGTATAAATGAAAATTCATTTAAATCGAACGTTTCTAACTGTTCTGCATATAAATAAAATCTTTCTCAAATACGTTTCTTTTTAAATAAAGTTTATAAAGTTCATCAATTTATAATAAATTTAATACAAAAAGTAATGATTGTTTGTTTTTCTTAAAATCACCTACAATAAAAAAATAAGACTTTTCCATTCACTCATCTGAGAACCACCAGTCAAACTCGATAATATCAAAAGCAAAAGCAGCAAAGCTATTCGAAAGGGGAATTAGTTCAGCCATACGATAACAAACACACATTCACAGTATGTAAGAATACTGTAGAAGAGAACAGTCATAACTTGAAGAAGAAGCATTCAAAATGTATAGCTTACGATTCATTATAACCACATTAATTCACAAATAAAAAACTGTGCTCCACTCCCATCATTTGTTTTACTTAGTTTGTTTTTTACTGCAGTTTTGATTCTTCGTATCCTCTGTGCAACACTAATTGTCATCGAAAAACAGAAGTAAAACTGCATTTAGAAGACGCATCAGATCAAGGCATCACCTAATTTCACTACCCATTGTCGATATAAGCTATGTTGTCTCCACTTGTTTTCGTCGTCTTTGACTCATTTCTTGGCTTCGCTTGGACTCAGACATGGCTCAGTAGTTACGCGGCTAATTCCTCCTTCAACAAAACACAGTGTTGCTGTCTGGGTGGCAATGTCGTCCTCACACAATCATCGGCAAACGTTTTGGCTGCCACCTCTAGCTTGAGTGGCTTATGTTTGAATCAGACTACCTTCTCAACAAATATTTCATATCGATCGGGCTATACCCTCTATTTACCTTTCAGCGATCAATTTCTAACAGTCACGCTCAGCTTGGATAGTCAGCTTATTACGGCTGTTAACGCGCTCTATCCAACCTGCAGTGGCAAAGCTATGAAAAAGAGTGATGTTACTCAACAACATGTCAACATCATGGTCATGTTTGGCATGATTCTTATAGGCTTGACTGTACACATCATCCAACTATGATTAATTTACAATCTTTTCGAATTGATAAATGCTTGTGATGTGCTCCTTTGTTTTTCATTTCATCTACTCATGAATATAGTAGTATTCATTGTTTCCAGGTGGAATCTTCCAGTTACTGCTGTAAATCAGTGCACATTATAGCATTAAATAATGTCATTCTTAGACAAGAACATCATAAGTATTATTGTTTGTTCTGAAGCCTAAGATGCAGCGTCCAATAAATATACAAGAGTAATCTCTCAGGTATTATTTGTCGACAGCTAGATCATGCTCTCGTATCTACTCAGTTTCAATCTAACATTGATGACGAATTGCAACGATCTGTGTGTAGCTTTGAAAGATTGACTAGATTCATGTCACTGTCAAAGCTCGTTGATGAAAGTTTTTGTTTACTTGATGCACAATGATCTTTTATTGAATGCTGACAGTTTCGTGAGTAAATATTCGGCTCAACACTTCGCTGACACTCAAGGTTTTATGTGTCGATCTTCTCATCATCAACATTCATATCCTCAATGCTCTTGTTCTCTTTTGTCTAGACAACAAATCAGGCTTCGTTTCTCATCAGATTGTAATCGAATTTAGCCTCTTTAAATTTTTTTTTCTCAATTTCCCTTGAGCATATCTTTCAGTTCCACCAAATCTTACTTAATATTACATCTAGCAATGCTGCCATTTCAGTTTGATCACTTTTCGTTGAGCTCACAATCAGAAAAAGTCCTTTCGCACTCATGCATGCATTAATCTATATGTTTTGTTGAACACATTGATGGACACGCAAATCCTGTAGTTGCTGAACGACTTGCATGAACGTTATGACGACATAGTGTACGTGCCTTTATTTGTCGAAGAGAAAATGACTTTCTTGTCGAATTGTTTCGATCTTGATTCTTCAAACTGGCAAGATGAGTTGAGTTCGTGATAGACAAGAGCTCTGCCACAGATAGCACCAGTTCGGTTTTGTCAATGTGTCCAGAAAAGCTGTTGATCTTATTTAATTTCTCTCGAACAGTTCTTAGAAGAGAGAGATATTTTCAGATACGCGTGGATCAAAGGAGACCTGGCAGTCGAAGATCAATGGGCAGAAGTCTGTAAGCGACATATGTGATAAAGCTTCTAATTTGGTTTTACATGAGTACGATTCAAATAATCGTAGATGGTCTTGATATTCTGAAACATATTTAACACATTCAAGTATGTATTTCCCTGTCATTTACTATCAATTAGTCTTTCAATATGCCACTATTGTCTGTGCTAACTGAATCTAGCTGAATTTTCATGACCAAGTCAACATTAAGTATCATTAAAATCTTCTGTGGTTCTCTTTCGTTCAAAGATGCTGTCAATAAACTCATGACATGTAACTATGGTAGTAGACTCAAAATGTGCACCTTCGTCAAATGAATCATCTGTCTCAGTTCAATCGGTGGATGAAGTTGACTAATGTGAAGAACATGATCGGTTCATGTCTTCAGTTTGTCTGTAGTATTCGAAAAACCCGCTTGCAGTGGACCTAAACGAAGTTCTTCTGATGTGATGCAATATATTGATTCATCATTTGGAAAAGTGATATTGAATTGATGCATTTAAATTCTTTATTTCATTGTGAATGGAATTATTTGGTATTTTTAAGAGTGCATCTAAAAATTGATAAAAATTTAACGACTATACGTTAAATCATTTCTAACAGGAAAATATGCGTAGAATTTTGTCGAATACAACTTTTCAATATGTTTTGAAGGTCAAAAAGGTAACATCGTTTATTGTTGAATTGTTAAAGTTTCATCGATTTTTACATGAGTACTGTCAATGCCAAAATATTTTTCTCGCTCACTCGACTGATATTAATTTCATTTTGGTATTATTAATTGTTCTTGAAAATGATCATCTAACGATGGAAACATCGAACATCCATGAATATTCGAAAAAAAAAACGAAATACTCATGATTTATTGTTAGCAAGTTCATCGCGTTGGACTTCGATTCGACGATATCACATTTGGTGACCCACAGGTGTAACCAATTGAAATGGTTAGATCGGCTAGTTTTAACCGATTCTTACTGGTTCAAAAACTTTTTTATAGATATATCATTTTTTTTTCTGATAAAACTCGTCGAAAGCAAGCTTATATGCTCTTATCACAATAATCAACCAATGTTGTTTGAAACATTATGTTTTATTTGCTTCTGTTCGCCTACACTGTCGCATTGCTGTAATCGAAATATACATCATTTTTTAAACAGTGCAACCAAAACTGTGTTACTTGAGTCAAATTTATCTCATACATGTTTTGTTGAAGATCAAATTCAGGTTTGTAACATCATTCGAAGAGTGGGGTGTGGATATGGGTATTATTTATGCTTCCATTTGATACACCCACATCCTGTTATCAGTTTTATCAAATGAAAAACCTTGTGAGTTCGACGATTTTTACCGGCCTAGAAATATTTTTATGCAGATCTGATGGCACGCCTCTACAACTTCTTGACCAGTTAGAACTCTGCCTAGTGACCAGTAAGAGCAATTTTCAGCATCTTACAATATTGATGCATGGTTTCAAACAAAGTGAAATTAAGTTAGCTAAACTATTCTCGAAGTATGTTTCGAGGCATCTCAAAGCTATCAATCAATATTATTCCAATTCTAAAGGTGTGCTTTTTTTTCAATAAGTCGCAGAAGATTGTTAAATAACTGTATGAACCACTAATCAAAAGTCATGTCCGAATCATATTTTGTCTCTTGTGCAAGAAACTTCTTTAAAATCATCAGAAAAACAATAATGATGTTTTCGTTCATTATCTTCTAGAATGAATAATCAAGCAACAATAGTCTTGAACGATGATTCTTTGATGTCACTTTATTTAAATTAAAGAAAGAAATTGATTACATGTAAGAAATGATAGATCCGAATGTTTGGGAAAATTTAGGTTGAGATTTATAGAGCTGCAAGTTTGGAAAAAGGAAGTCCTCTGAACAGTGAACATTTTAATGGATAACCGTCAAAAAGGTTCAGTTTCAACAATCGGACGAAGAGTGCCCCTTGTAATCTGTGGTCCAATATGTGTTGTTGCTGTAATTGCTAGGTTCGTTGGGGCTATTTGATTATGTCCTAAATTACACGGATGTTTCAGATACATTAGAACCGTTTGTCGGAAACGTGGTGATGAAATAAGAAATATGTAAAAAGATGAAGCGAAATTCATAGAAGTGATAGAGATAGTTAACTGATCAACGAGAAGTACAATTGACTCTTGATCAAAACTTCTTGTTACACGCTCTTCAATTGTAGCAATCGTATAAACGTTGAAAATGGCTCGAGGAAGTGTGAAAAAGATACTTAGTAGAGTTTGGGTTAACATCATTCTTGTCATTTGTTGTTCCCATGCTGACATACGAGTTTGATTTGGTTGTTGACGAATATGACTCACAAGACGAATATTACGATATGTCAATAGTCCAAACAGTATTAGAACAATTAGAGGAAGAAGAACAGTAAGGACGGGAGATAAGAAAAGCACTCCTATTTTGATAAAGAGATCGTTGGTGAACCAACAAAAGAATATTGGTGGTACAAGATCACAATACATAAGAAAGGGAATATTCACAAGTGACCAAAGAATAAACGGAATAGGAAAGATACGACGAGCTACACGAATTGAACTTAATTGGCGTATTCGAGCCGATTGAGACGTACATGCCCAACGATCAAATGCAGACAAACAAAGAAAACTCATTGCAGCAGACACTGTCATTTGAATGAAAAAGACCATTAACTTACAAGCAATCGATGAAACTGATACTGACACGGATGGAATTATCTGAAAAAGTAAAATCAGCAAGACATTGACATCGGCTAATGATTGTCCCACAACATAATAAGCCGATGGAGATCGACGAAATGTTTTTACACCAACGAATATTATTGCATTGAGCAGCGCTGCTGGAGCTCCAATTGCAAATAAAATAATTGGACTCCAAAATCTGATTAGAAGAGCTACTTCAAAGACTAACATCTTTATCTTTTGTAAAATTGAATAAGCACTTGCACGTTCGCCGTTCACTTGAAATAAAATTATTCAAATGCGTTTTCATCATCTAGTTTTCCATTCTCTCTCTTTCCCTCTCTGTCTATTCTTTCTATGACGTCTTTAGATAAAATTCAATTAAAACAAAACCGCTAGAAGCACTCAGATATGTCAACAACAGATCAATCATCAAAATCAGAACTTCCATTAGTTGCTTCCGATAAAAATAGTGTCATTATTATCTTGTCAAATATGATTTTCGTTGACGGAAGCCAGACGTTTCTTTTCTATGCGTATTGATTAATTGTATATCATTTTGAATGAGTCATCTGATATAAGTATCCCGCTAGAGTATTTTCTGGTCTGTTCCGAAACTATCTCGTGAAAGAGATTTACTAAAGATTGAGACCATTGCATTTTCATTTTGCTAATTATCTACGATTATTAAATATTATTTTATGAAAAATAGTGAAAACAAACTAAGTAAATCAAGAATGATTTTTGCTATATAGATTCATTTGATAAACAAAATATTTGTTGACTAAAACTCGTTACGAGGAAATATTTGCCATAAAAACTATTGATAATGATATTCCAAAAAATGTCATTAAATATCTTATATTGTTTGAAGTAAGCCAATATTAGATGATGATTGCTTGTCAAACACATTCAATGACGCAGAAATGCCAAGACCTTTGATAGATTATTATTATACTATAATCTAAACAGAAAATAAGACTCTCTCCGGGAGGCATCATGACATGAGAGAACTGTCATCAAAACGACGATGCATGATATACAACGAAAATTCTGAGGACTAAAAGAGTTCAACTCAAGCATGTTACCCTGCCTTCTAACCACTTTGATGTATTTATGGCAAGCTTAAAAGTTGAATTCGATTGAAGTTTTAAATAACAATTAAACTTTCAAAAATCAAGCTTGAAGTTTCAAATACAAATGCACATTTCTCTCGATGTGGGTACCACTGAAACGTAAATAGACATAATCTTTCTAAGTGAGAGTGCCTCGTAAAGTCGGTCATGAATTTCAGATTGATGTAAGGATTGAAGCAAACTAAGTCGGGCTCAAGTGAGAGTAGAACCTTATATAAATGTTTGTAATGTTTCTATGATTTTTTAGGATACGAGAAAGGCATTCTGAAATTACACATAGATGATCGAAAGTTGAAATTTGAAGAGTAGTTATTCAATTCAATTCAAATTTCATGTTTAGCGCAACTGCACCGGTGTGCTTCCTGTGTGCATGACTCGCAGGCCGCCATGGAGTCACTAGAGCGGTTCCTAATCGCGTGCTCGCGAAAAGAAGAGGGACAAAATTCATTTTTTCATTGAATAGCAATTTCTTTTTTAGTCAACGTGATGTATCTGACAAAAAAAGAAACCACAGTAACTATTGTAATGAGTTTATTCGATAGAAAATCGTTGTACTCGATCATTGCCCAAGTCGACGACATATAGATGACCATGTTGATCGAAGGTCAAGGCTTCGGGATAGTATAACTTATTTGCTCCTTTGCCACCCACAATGACAGTGCCCTGTTTTGCTCCTTTAGGCCCACGCATTACTCGATGATTTCCCGTGTCTGCCACATAGATGGCATCCAAGTAATCGACAAACAGTCCTTTAGGGCTCGACAATTGTGTCAGAGCCTTTCCTTCACCTTGACCACCAGCGATGACAATGTCCTCTTTTGCACGTTTATTCCATTTCATCACACGATGATTTTCGTTGTCCGACACATAGATAGTCTGTTGTCGATCGACAAAGATGAAGGTCGGCCAGTTGAATTGATTGAGACCATCACCTTTGCCATGGCCACCGGCCACAATATTTCCTTTCTTGTCTCCCAGCTGATATCGTCTTACTTCATGTTTGTCATTGTCAGAGATGTAGAGACATCTCTTATCATCCATGGCCAATCCTCGACAACGAATACCGTCGAGAAGGATTTCACCTTGAGCGGTGCTACTACGACGAGACCATAGTAGGATGCGTCGATTTCCGCGATCACAAATAACGAGATTACTAGTCTCTTGGTCGATTAACACGTCTGTTGGAAAACACAATTGATTCAATTGCTTTTCTTGGCCATGTCCACCAGCAACGACTTGTCCTTTCGTATCGTTCATTTTCCATTGGGTGATACGATGATTCCAGTAGTCAGCGATTACTATTGTTTGATCAATATCAATGAATACAGCATACCGGCCCTTCAGTTGATTGGTAGCCCCGCCCAATCCATGGCCTCCAGCAACGG